TTCGGCCCCGGGTGGAGCCCCAGGGAGGACAAGAGAAGCCGGCGAAGTTCCGCGGTGGTGCTGTGTGCCTTTACCGTGCTGCTGGAGCCCGCACGAAGGAAGGCGGCACAGGACAGGGCTTCTTTCTCCTTCCGGTTCAGTACCCGTTGGTGCTGAACCCCTCGAGGGGCGCCGGAGGAGCTGGAGCCGCTCTCCAGGAGCGGGGCTGGAGCTCCGCCGCCGCCCTGCCCGCGGCCGCTGTTTCGGCCCGTAGCAGTGACGCTGGCGTCCATAAAATAACGTAAGAGTTCAGGGGGTTGCGTCTGATGGGGGGGAGCTGGGAGAGCAGGTGGAGCAGCTTCTCTTCGTGCGGCTGGTACCGTAGCCTGGCGTAACGGTAGCGCGTGAGTTACGCGCGCGTGTGGTAGCATTGCTGTCCTGGCGAAAAGTAAAATTTTAACCTTAGAACATATATTGTCCAACTTAATACAGGCTTGTTCCGCTGGAGGGTAAGCTTTTTCGTGGTATAATTTTAAGCACTCAATGGCAGTAAAATCTGTCTTGAGTGTATTTTAAATTTCTGATCTGGAAACCCTGTTCCGATGCCTCCGTATGTTCAGCGTAGTGGATGTTTATGTCAAAGTGGTATCTGAAATGTCAAAATCATTAAATTTGATACTGGTATCTCAGGTTTTGCTACTCAGGATTATTAATACAGTTATTTTTCAGGGAGCTTTGGTTTAAAATCGTAGCCCTGTGTTTTAGCAGGCATGATATATATATATATATGCATATCTATTTCAGATTGTTGAATGAAACCAGTTGAAATTGATTACTAGTTGGAACTTGATTTTAAAGCTAAAAATACTTTAAATCCACAAGCTTTCAGAAACTTTGTGATGAAGCGCTGAACTCTGAGACGAGCCAGACCTAAAGCAAGGAATCCATTGTGGCTTTCAGTAAATTAAATAGTGAGCATCACTATGTTTTTGTAGAACATTTTGTGTTTTAGTGATGTTTTTGTTTGGTTTGGCAAGATTTCTCATCTTTTGAGTTTTTCAGTTTTACTCTAAGCCGCATCAACAGATATCAAGGGAGGCTTTGGAATTTCATGTATTTGAAAAGGAGAGTTAGAAAAACTAAACTTAATATTGGGATATGTACTTAATGTCCATCTTAAAACTTTATTCACAGTAAAAAGAAGAAAGGTAAGTTGTTTTTCTTGCTATGCTAGTAAAACTTTAAAGGATTAATACTGAAACTTTGGTCTTGCGTTCTTTTTGCAAGGTTGGAATTCATATCATACCAAGGTTTATCGCTGGGATATTTCTACTAATGACTATACCAATATCCCTCTGGGGAATACTACAACACTTAGTCTAGTCCACTCAACCTGAATTACAGAAACCAATAATAAGGTAACATTTCACATTTTACCTGTGCTACAAATGTTGAATTTAATTCAGACTAAAAATGCTTCTAGTAATATTAAATGTTCTTTTGTTATTGTAACAGGATTCTATGGATGGTGCCGATTTACAGTTTAGACAGTGTAAGTGTTCTCTTACTGTTAACAGCTCAATAAAATTCTGTTTCCTGTGGGAGTGAGGGAAAACAGTGTCACAGTTGGCAGAAACTGTGCTGCATGGAGAGTCGTGGTCCTAGAAACTTCTGGGCATTCCTATTTATGGAGTACGTCAGAAGCATAGTTCTAGCAATATTACATTCTTCTCGTGGAGCTTGTGGGATCACTTTTGCTAGCCCTTCTTTAACCTGTCCTTGACTATCCTTTATGACAGATGTGGACAGGGGTACGACAAGAGCCTGCTTTTGGTCCTTCCATCTTCAGTAACAGCTGAACTGGAAACCAGACTGATCCAAGTACTGTCTCAAAATTCAGTGCCTTACCTTTCTTTCCCGAGTTATGCTTAGTGCTAAAATTCTTCCTTTTTGCTTCAGGGGGCAAAGGGTAAGATCCCACAAAAAATCCACTTCTAAATACTTTTATGCGATAGATTCTGTTGGCCACACCAGATATGGTTCGTGTAAATACGTCACCTGTGGAGACGACTTCCGCCACAGCTAAGCAACATACTAAATCTGTGGACTGTACAGAATGTGTGTTTACATGTTGTCATCACCTCTCGACATTGCAAATACTTATGTTTCCCCCATAAAAGACAGCTTTCCAGGAACTTTTGCTCTGATTTTTCTCCCATCTCTTGAGTGTTTATCTAAAGTGTCACCCTTGTGGACGTTCCCTTTTTTTTTTTTTTTTTTTTTTTTTTTTAAAATCTGGGTTTTTGCTGGAAACCCTGTTCCGATGCCTCCGTATGTTCAGCGTAGTGGATGTTTATGTCAAAGTGGTATCTGAAATGTCAAAATCATTAAATTTGATACTGGTATCTCAGGTTTTGCTACTCAGGATTATTAATACAGTTATTTTTCAGGGAGCTTTGGTTTAAAATCGTAGCCCTGTGTTTTAGCAGGCATGATATATATATATATATGCATATCTATTTCAGATTGTTGAATGAAACCAGTTGAAATTGATTACTAGTTGGAACTTGATTTTAAAGCTAAAAATACTTTAAATCCACAAGCTTTCAGAAACTTTGTGATGAAGCGCTGAACTGAGACGAGTTCCAGACCTAAAGCAAGGAATCCATTGTGGCTTTCAGTAAATTAAATAGTGAGCATCACTATGTTTTTGTAGAACATTTTGTGTTTATTAGTGATGTTTTTGTTTGGTTTGGCAAGATTTCTCATCTTTTGAGTTTTTCAGTTTTACTCTAAGCCGCATCAACAGATTGCAAGGGAGGCTTTGGAATTTCATGTATTTGAAAAGGAGAGTTAGAAAAACTAAACTTAATATTGGGATATGTACTTAATGTCCATCTTAAAACTTTATTCACAGTAAAAAGAAGAAAGGTAAGTTGTTTTTCTTGCTATGCTAGTAAAACTTTAAAGGATTAATACTGAAACTTTGGTCTTGCGTTCTTTTTGCAAGGTTGGAATTCATACCAAGGCATGGTTTATCGCTGGGATATTTCTACTAATGACTATACCAATATCCCTCTGGGGAATACTACAACACTTAGTCCATTATACTCAACCTGAATTACAGAAACCAATAATAAGGTAACATTTCACATTTTACCTGTGCTACAAATGTTGAATTTAATTCAGACTAAAAATGCTTCTAGTAATATTAAATGTTCTTTTGTTATTGTAACAGGATTCTATGGATGGTGCCGATTTACAGTTTAGACAGTGTAAGTGTTCTCTTACTGTTAACAGCTCAATAAAATTCTGTTTCCTGTGGGAGTGAGGGAAAACAGTGTCACAGTTGGCAGAAACTGTGCTGCATGGAGAGTCGTGGTCCTAGAAACTTCTGGGCATTCCTATTTATGGAGTACGTCAGAAGCATAGTTCTAGCAATATTACATTCTTCTCGTGGAGCTTGTGGGATCACTTTTGCTAGCCCTTCTTTAACCTGTCCTTGACTATCCTTTATGACAGATGTGGACAGGGGTACGACAAGAGCCTGCTTTTGGTCCTTCCATCTTCAGTAACAGCTGAACTGGAAACCAGACTGATCCAAGTACTGTCTCAAAATTCAGTGCCTTACCTTTCTTTCCCGAGTTATGCTTAGTGCTAAAATTCTTCCTTTTTGCTTCAGGGGGCAAAGGGTAAGATCCCACAAAAAATCCACTTCTAAATACTTTTATGCGATAGATTCTGTTGGCCACACCAGATATGGTTCGTGTAAATACGTCACCTGTGGAGACGACTTCCGCCACAGCTAAGCAACATACTAAATCTGTGGACTGTACAGAATGTGTGTTTACATGTTGTCATCACCTCTCGACATTGCAAATACTTATGTTTCCCCCATAAAAGACAGCTTTCCAGGAACTTTTGCTCTGATTTTTCTCCCATCTCTTGAGTGTTTATCTAAAGTGTCACCCTTGTGGACGTTCCTTTTTTTTTTTTTTTTTGAAAGACTGGGATTTAGAGTATCTGAGAGTGAAGGAGAGTGGGGAAGGGAACAACATTATCTGTTTCCTGTAGGGAATATCAACTACCTCAGGTTGATATTTCAATTTCAAGTACAGAATTTTCCTTTGGAAGAAAATTACCTGCTAATTAAATGAGCTCTAGCCAGGCATTCAGGGACATTCCTGACTTCCAGAAATTTTTCCCCAGACTCCTGGATCTTGTGGCCTTTTCTGCATATATGGGATCCTCCTAGAGTGCTTAATCTGAGCTGAACATGAAGTTCTCTTCTCAGATTGAAATACTGTATTCTCAGTTTACTAGATGCAGTATTACATCTTCCACAAAGGTGTTGCAGCATCTGTTAACTGGAGTATTTCTTAACTGTGATGAGGATGTGAAGCATCTTCCTGTAGTTCTAATAAGGTCAGGGAAGGCACAACATTCACTCTACTACAAGCTAGGGAAGCAAAGTAAACTCAAAAGACTTGCCTCTATTAAATTTTAACTCTCCCCCCCCGCCCCCCCTTCCAAAAAAAAACCAAAAACAAAAAACCCAAAAAAAACCCAGTAGGACAGGTTCCACTGAACAGTTGAACAGCAGTGCAATACTCAAAATTAAAAAACAAAAGCTCTGACAGCTGATCCATAATCACAGTTTTGCAAAAAAATCACTTTTCTGTCTGAAATTCTGGTGTAGAGGGATGACTGCCACTTTAAGGCTAATCTGCTCCTTTCTTCTATATTTTGCAAACCTGCCAGAACAAACATTCACACATCAGATAACAGAAGAAATCAACTTTGCACTGACAGACTAAAAACTTAGTTCTCAAACCCATATTGCCAACGGCTGTGTGGATTTCAGGAAACAGTTCTACCTTGTCTCCTTGTAACAGGAGTAGGTTATGTGTAGCAAACCATCTCCGTAGTTACTTTTAAATGAAAGACTGAATTGTGTGGTCAAAGATACAGAGCATCTCTTGCGCAGTGCTTTAAGCACGCTTCCATTTGAAGCAGCAGAGATGCAATCCGAAGTTCTACTTGTATTTTTACGGAACGTTATTTTCTAGCTGTAGCATCACACTCTTATTAGCCAAATGCTTCAAGCCCTGTTTAATTAGTGCCTGCTGTCTAACGAAGTATTGCTTGCTGAACTAGCCAGCCAGTGTTGTCATTGGAATCACTTTTGTCTTTCTTGCGTGTAACTTTTTGTGTACCTCTCTCCTTACAGTGGATAGCTTTGAAATACCCCAACATTGCAATATATGTGGATACATGTCGAGAATGCTATGAAGCTTATGTCATCTATAATTTTATGGTTTTTCTTTCAAATTATCTAACCAACCGGTATCCAAACCTCGTATTAATAATAGAAGCAAAAGATCAGCAGAGACATCTGCCGCCTCTATGTTGTTGTCCGTCGTGGGCTATGGGAGAGTGAGTATACGATGACATCTTAAAATTTTTCAGCTGTGTAACCAGATACAAACACTTTGTTTTCATATTTAGTAGTATAACTGTTGTTGCTTGGCAGAGTCAGTTTATGTCTTGCACACATTTTATCAACTATGAACCCCTACTGAAAGCAGCTGTGACACGTTTTCATCTAGCTGTAAAACTTCCTATAAATCACACTTACTAACATGCATTGACTCAGGTGGTGCTGAAGGAAATGTCCTTATTTTTGAAAAATATTGGAAAAAGGTCTGCTTGAATTTGCTTCCTTTGCTATCATATAGTATTTGCCAAAAACCTCATGTAAGATCGCTGGTAGACCAGATAGCCTATTGCTTTTACTTCCACAGGTGAAGGACAAAAGGCCATATGCCTCTGAACTGTTTGTTTCTGCATGCTTAATCTGATAAGCATCTCTCTTAAGAGATTTTGATAAAGCTGTTTAAAATGTTAAAGGCAAACTATGAACGTAAGTCAGTCTTAAACATCTTCAGACACAGTGAAAATTGCATTCTCTTTTTTTTAGCTCAGCCAGAAGCTTTCCATGGCTAAAAGAAGTGAATCATTGAGTATTTCCTGTTCTGTATCTATAAAAGTCTAGGTCTTTTGTATATTGTGTATATACACACTATATATACTGTAGCATCTGAAGTCTTGGAAGCCGAAGTTGAAATTATCATGAAATAAAAATTTAGTTTAGCGAAACTACTGAGCACAGGAAACTTCCACAAGTGAATTGTCTTTAAATCCTTGTACAATGAATTTTGTGTTTCTCTTGCAGAGTTTTATTATTTAGATGTAAACTGGGTGTTTTGCAGTACACTGTTGTCAGACCATTTACTACTATTATTGCTTTGTAAGTACGCTCATAAAGAATTAATATTGATCTTCAGGATGTAATTTTGAGTTACACTGGAAAGAATTTTCATGCCCTTTGTATTGAATCAAGGCAGTTAGAAAGCAGACTCGTCATGTTACATGCTAAATGGGTCCTGGCAGTTTGAATCAACGGATGACTTCTTTATGACTTCTCTATAGCAAATGATTATTTGCAGATTTGACATAATAAATACTTAATGCCTGCTGCTGACAGCAGTGGGAGAGAACGTGAAGTACTGTTTATGTGGGAAAGACATTTTTATGATCTCTTAATTTTTAGAGTCGTCTTTTCCTCCTTCTCCCTTTTCTCATTGGCTTCAACAATTGGGTATTTAAAGTCAGGTTTCATGTAACTTTTTAAATTTTGTTAAATTTTGCATGTGACAAGCCTGACTGTGTGCCTTCATACATATCGTATAACCTGTTGTAAGGGAATAGCAGGCAGTTATGCATGTTGATGCTGAAAGCTTAACTTCATGAACTTTGTATTGATGGTCATTACTGCTAATTCTGTGGGAATGTGGAAGAAGTTGCTACTCGCAAAGAGTATCAATATAAATATTTATATTAGCTGTATGTGTTCCAACAGTTGAAGGCAAAACAGCTAAAAAAAAGATGTTTAATTGTTGAATTCATTCAACAATGGGATACATTAACCCTGCATTCAAACACTATTTCTTCTATGGAAAGTACAATATGAACTTCCTATGCCATATGCTGTTGGAAACTGACTCTTGTGCAGACTCCCCAATGCCCGTATTTGAGTACCAAGAGAGATTTTTGGATTCTAACAGTTGATCGACGTAATGAAGATTTAGCGCGTCAAGAAAGCGATCTTTTACTATGTAGTGACTAACTCTAAAAATTCTTTCAGAATTTGTGAACTAGTGGGAGTGTACGATGAGGGAAACTTCAGCTTCAACAATGCTTGGACTTACTTGGTTATACTTAACAACATGTCACAGCTAGTGAGTATCAACAGTACATCTTTCTGCTCTGTTAAGTCATCATATTAGTATTACATGAATCTTCTATGTGAACTATCGACAGCAATGTGTTAATGTTTGGTAATTCTTATGGATAGAGTATTTCCCACTGTAAGTCCAAGTTACTATCTGTTAAATACTATATATGCAAAATACTGGGAAAACAGATAATCTAAAACTTTTATTATTTTTACTACGAAGCTCCATAAAGCAATAAAGTTTCCCACCTCTCTACCCCAAGCTATTTGATGGGTGAAGTGGTATGGCCCAGGCGTGTTAGAGCTGCAGACCTGGCCCTCTGCAGAAGAGGTGACTTTGCTCCCCTCCGTAGCTTCCTCCCAGCACACATACAAAGAATCGGCAGTGGCTGTGTTAAAAATACCGTGTTACAAAGCTGGTGATAACAACATTGACAGGAAAAAATGAAAACGGTGCATGCGGTGCTGAGATTCTGGCCTGCCTAACACCTTGTCTTGTTGGTTCAGCTGCCAGATGATGTCAGGGTAAGGGTAAGATGTCAGCCCCTAGACTTGAAAGTTTCATTTTGGGAGTCAGGGCATTTAGTGGCTTGCTGGGAATGCAGAGGAATCATTTTCTACTTCACCCAGGGCACATTACACGAGCTGTTGCAAGAGGAGAGAGCAGCAGCTCTGGCTCCTTGCTGCTTAGCCTTCTAGCCTCCAGGCTTCTTAATTCTCTTGGCAACAGCAGAAGGAGACAGAACAGCACGGCATTCCATCCGGAAAGGGCGTCCTCCTCCTCCTACTGCCACCCCTGTGTTTGCTGGGTGACTGTTACGGAAGGAGCTGTAACTGCTTTCTGCTGCGACAACAGTCCCAGCAGCAGCACGTACTTCTGCATGTCCTGGTTGACATGATTGCTTAAAGAAACTTAGCAGTAAGAGGCTAGGAGAACGTGCGTGAAAAGGGGAGATCAGTTCCTTAGGTTTGGCTATACGTTAGTTTGGTTGCTTGCAGTTGTCATTAATAGGAAACTTGTTGAGATTTGCATTGAAGATTGCATTCGTTGCCTTATCTCTCATGAAGAGGCAACATTTGAGGTGTTCTTAACAGAAGCCTGAAAGAACACGTGCTTTTTATGCCATTTTCCCTAGAGATGTGCTTGGCGTTGAAAAGATTTTTATGGGACCTTCCTGTGCTTTGCTTGACTGTGTAGATAGATGACCTCAGTCTCTGTCTGCCAATACCATACATTTCAGTAGTACAATTACAGGAGGAAAAAAAAAAAAAGTCTGCTTTACAACAGTATGGCAAAGATTCCATAAATCCAGAGCCTCTTTTCTAAAATAGATAGCTTTTTCAGTTTGTATTGTACTGTGATATTTTTTTTTAATGGAAGTGATGCTGTAAAACAACTCCCTCACAAAATAAACAAGGATTTGAAAGCTTTTCTTCATTTTCTTTTCCTTGTTAGTTTGCTATGTATTGTCTGGTGCTGTTCTATAAAGTACTACGTGAAGAACTGAACCCTATCCAACCTGTTGGCAAGTTCCTTTGTGTGAAGATGGTAGTTTTTGTTTCTTTCTGGTAAGTGAATTATTTACTCATTACTTCTTGCTCTCAGGGTGGATCATAAAAGAGCTAAAAAGGCTGGATTTGTTACTGAGGTTAGAGGCCTCAAAAAATCTACCTATTATCTTAGTGAAGTGCTGTGAGGGCAAAAGGGTACCAGTACGTTGCACAGAGCAGTCTTGTTTGCTTGAGGTTATTTTTTAGACTTGCTATTTTGTAAGGTGATTCTCAAGCACATGATTTATTTTAGAATCTTCACTTGCAGTTATTTCAAAACAAAAAACGATGCTTTTTTACTTTTTAAAGTAAAAATAAAAATTATTTTAACTTCTTCAAAATAAGTTAAGTATAAATTACTATTTAAGCATTGCTCGCACTTTGCTGCTAATGAGTGAGTGCATTTGACTATCTGAACATTGCTCTGTGGGCTGCAGTAGTACCCTGAAAGAGAAGCAACTTGTTTTAGTAACTAACTGGAACAACAAACTCTTCTTTGGTTGTGTTCTCTGTTGGTCTTTAGGACCATGGATGAATGACATCTCTTCTTAAGTCTATTTTCCTCCTCTTAAAATCTAAATATATAAACAGTAAGTTTTTTTCTGAGATTCTTGCTATGTACATACGTGTGTACACATACAAACAGGCCTTGTTTACCAGATGTGCTTGCAGGTTTTCTGGCACTACTGTTACAATAATAATAAAAATGAAAAATAATCTTTATAGGCAAGCTGTGCTTATTGCATTGTTGGTGAAAGTTGGCGTTATTTCTGAGAAACACACCTGGGAATGGCAAAGTGTGGAAGCTGTGGCTACAGGCCTACAGGTAGGAGCAGACAATTACTTCTTAGGAGGAATGGCTGTATGTAAGATGACGTAGCTGATCTCAAGCAAATATTGTCATACTCACTTTGATTAACACAGGCTAGATTAGCACTGAATTTAGTATAAGTTGGTCTAAGTTTCAGCCAGTCACCCCAAGAGAGTTTTGTGCTCAACACTTCTATATCCTTGTGTTGGGCAGACGGAACGTGCCCCAGTTAAATCCTTCTGTTGGATATCCTTGCGTTCCTTCTTGCAAGAATTCAGCTGCTTGTCCAGCACGTCAGTCCATCAGGCAAGGACTGATTCCAGTGTGCATGTAGCACACGTGGCTCTCTGAAGCCGGCCAAGATTATCCTGCCTCTGGAGGAAAAGTAGCTGGTGCCAGCATCCCAAGGCAATTGCAGTCTTTCAGTTGTAGAAGAAACCCAGGAACTACTTTTCTCCAGTTATGAATGATTAAATCAATCTCTCCCTCATTGCAGGATTTTATCATTTGTGTTGAGATGTTCCTGGCTGCTATTGCGCATCACTACAGTTTTTCCTATAAACCTTATGTTCAAGAAGCTGAAGAAGGGTCATGCTTTGACTCTTTTCTTGCAATGTGGGATATCTCTGATATAAGGGCAGATATATCGGAACAGGTTCGAAATGTCGGTAAGTAACAGACGAATTTGTATGACCTGTTAACAGCATATGTATTCACAGCTTCATTTTACACTATCATCCATCTCTATAGTGCCTTAAGAATATTCCATACCAAATTAGTGGCAGCTGCATCCATAGAGGATTTCATGGTTTATGTGGCACTTTGCTCTTTGCAGTGCTCCTGACTGATTTAGAGTCTAGTTCCTAATTTTTCTTTTAAATAGATGGATCTCAGGGTAAGTTTCAGGTGTGTTAGGTAGAAGAGAGGGATGTCCTTTTTGGGGTTTGTCTTTTTTAAATGGAAAGACATCCATTTATTTATTTATTAAAGCTAACCATGCCCATGTAAAACTTTGAAAATAGAGACTCCTCTTCTAATTTAACATGCCTGTTTTAGAGTTGATGTGTTCAAAGACCTTGGTATAGTGCTGGAAGTATTAAGAAGTATTTTCATTTGGTGGAATTCTAGGAAGGACAGTTTTGGGCCAGCCAAGGAAAATGTTTTTTGCTGAGGATCATGAACAAAACGAGCACACAAGTTTACTCTCTTCATCTACTCAAGACCCAATTTCTGATGCTTCTTCAATGCCATCTTCACCCATGGGTCATTACCAGGGGTTTGGACACACTGTGACCCCTCTCACAACACCAACGACAGCCCCTGCGGTTGACGGTATTTATAACACTTCTGCTATTCGAGACGCTGAGCAGTCACCCGAACTAGAGCACAATTTATCAGAGAAAGCTTTGGATAAAAGTTAGACTCACCTTTGCTTTGAATGTGTCAAGGAGTCTGTTATGTACTTGCCACACATGTTCTGTTAACATGTACGGTTAGCGATGGAAGTTGAAAAGCTTGGAAAAGCTACTGCGCAGACAGGAAGAGGCTATGGCTGTAACTGACATCTGAATTCTGAATCTGTAATGGATGTGAGTATCTGTGAGTACCCCATGAATATAAAACACGCACACTGTAAAGGTTTCTGCATAAATTTAAGAATCAACTCCTTAAAGTGCTAAACACTTACACATCATGTCAAAATGACACTGACTTCTATTACTACAAAAGAAACATTTGAAAAAATACTCTTCTCTTCTAAAGATGAAGTGTAAGTACTACTGGTAATGGGAAAACTTCATTTCAAGAATGTAATTTAAGGAGGGCAGTAGCAAAAAGTGTTTGTATTAGCTTTGGTTGTGCTCTTAACGATGGTAACTTCCATACCCCAATGCTGAATGGAGTGCGGACAAAATGGTAACTTCTGTACAGATGCCATCTTCTTCCCTTTCCTGCATAGCTAAATACAACCCCTTCATGAAGATAATTATTACAGAGCATCAGTAAAGAATCTGTACAAAGAAAGCATTCCCTACAGGCCTCACTATAAAATTCCATGCCCAGAACATATGGTTGGTGTATCTGTTGTCCTTGTAGCTCACAATTTGTAAGTCTTTTTACATTCAGAAGAGACAGCCAGGATGATAGGTTTTGGATTAGTACCTTACAATTGACTACTTTTTTCCCATCCTTCTAAAATAAGAAAAATGGTTACTACCTTAAAATACTAGGAAGTAGAAAACAAAACTGATTTCTTTATTTGGGCTGCAATAAATTCTTTAACACTTAAGTTTTTTTTAAGCTGTTAAAGCAGGATATCTTGACAATGTGTCTGTAATAATTTGTATTCATAAATTTGTGTGTGTGTGATTATTGTATTATGCTTCTAGTATAGCCTGGATTCAAATGTAATAGTTGATTCCCCGCCCCTCCCCGCCCCCACCGTCCCAGAAAAGACCTTTGCTAAGGTAAAACTAAGTAGCTAGTCTAATACAGGAGTTACTAGCATTAGATTTCAGACCAAGAAGTACACTTGTAGCAAAATGTTATTTTGCAAAAACTGACAAAAACAAGGGATATTGGTTTTATCCCATTACCAGATTTTTACTACTATTGCATGTTTGCAATCTGACAAAAAAAAAAAAACCCTAGAGCACCGACCTTTTAAATGTTTCTTTTAAACTTTTAAAAGTTTCTTTTTCAGCATTGCTGGCATTTACAGGATAAATGTTTAACTTCTGGCTGTCACAGTAAATTCATCTTAAGTGCTTTTTTTGCAGTACTAGTGTGATGTAAATATTGCGCCTTACTCACTAGGCTGCATATTTTATAGTTGACTACGTACTTGCTGTATCTGAAGTTAGTGGGAAAGTGCAAATCATCATTTTCCATTTGCCAAGTCATTGCCTTTGTTGTAAATAAGCAATTAAAGATTTTATTTAAACTCTTCACCTTCTTTCAATTTGATTTACTGCTATAGCAATTTAAGAGTGTGAATGACACGTGAATACAACTGTCCTCTTCACGGAAGAAAGGGATCTTAAGTTTAACTAATACAAGAGTTTGTGCTTTCACTATTTTAAGGCTTGTACTGAAAAGGGAAATCTTGTTTGAACTTACAAAGAATCAGAATCTACTTACGTATGCTGCATTCCAGGTATCTTTTTATCCATCTAATAGCCACATTCTAAAAGGAAACAACTTGTAAAAGCTCACAGCGCCTGCGGACTTCAGTGCCCACTGTAGCCACTATTAGAAAGAATCTGATTTCCTGCATGTATAGAAGTAAAAAGGGGCATTGGTAGAAATAATATCTGAAGTATCAGAGCTGCTGGAAGCTATGGAGCTACTGTGCTCTAGCTTTTCAAAAACCTCACACTAAAAAAATTTTTTTAATACTTGAAGTTATGTAGAACTTACTTACACTGAAGTTAGTGTAAAATTTAGGTAAGGTACAGAGAAGGGACTTTGATAAGAAAACAGCTAGTTAAGTGTCTTGGTTGCTTCTTTCACAGCATTTCTAGAAAGCTATTAAGTTACTTCATTATTACTCAGTTATTCCATGTGCACAGTATTCCTGCATTTTTTTTTCCTGGGAGAAAAGTTATTTTTTCATTTCAGTAGCTTACAGGATCATACCTTTCCATTAAACACTGCTACTGAATTTCCAAAATAAACAAACAGAAGTCTTACAATGACACCTATCCTGTCTTTTGAAAACTACTACAAGAGTATTCCACAGCATGACCTATCAAGTTGATACAAAAAGTTCATTTGCAAATAGTCCTTCATCTTTATATTAACGATATTTGTGCCTCCACTGTTTTATGCCTCATCTTCTCCCAGCTTTTAATCAGATTGCTCTTGCCTTACTTAACACACTGCTTGAAAACTCAGTAATGGTCATTTTCAGCCCTTTACTTCATCTCATTGAGTAAGGGTAAAATATGTCCCTAATTTTTCTTTTAACTCATTTTGCTATATTAATAGCTAAAACCCTTAATAAATATGCCTAACCACTATTATTTAAAAGCAAAACCATTATGAAAGGTCTTCTACCATGAGATGCCTGAACACCTCTCTGTAAAACTGCACTTTGGTGAAAATATCCTGCACCCACTAAGTTTAGTTGTGTCAGACAGAAACTTAGATTTTATGGATCATGGTTTTGTTTGGATTTTGGGGGGGTTTTGTTTGCTTGTTTTTTTAAGAAAAGCTGTTTTCTGTGTAGCATGAAAAGCCTCTGTCCTACTCCAATTCACTCATGTTTTGTTATGCGTTGTACCCCTTAGATAAAGGATGGTATCCAGTTACTTTATCTTCAGAAAACTTGACTTAGTCATTACCTCTGTTTTGAAAAAAGAAAAATAAATTGGAGACCTTTCCTCCACCCTTCTAAAAGGAGCTTTACTACAGCAATCTATCAGGTACAGGTTCAGCTGCAGGCTGGGACAACCACAGCTCCAACAGTCCCTGAAGTTAAACTGAGAGCGCCTATCTATCTGAAACGTTTGACCTAATGAAGAATACGTATGGATCTTGCATGCAATGAGATTCCAGAAAAATTATTTGTGGATGGCTCTTTATACAGGCTCCTGTTAAGGAAAGATCACAGAAATGCCTCTTCTACATTGAACAGACTGCACAGTATAAAGAAACTTAGCTGCAGAAATATCTTGCTAGCAGTGTTCTTCATAGCTCTACAGAGGTAGAATCAATGCTGAGTTAGAAGTTTTTGTTAGTCTTCCATTTGGATATAAATTTACTAGAAGGAACTTGTTACCTGCATTATACCAAAATGTAATGCTGTAGAAGAGATACAGGAGTCCTGTGGTGTAGTATTTTCTACAACTTCCACACAGCCAAGAGTTCAGGCCCGTTATATTACCAGAAATTATGCTCTGAGGCATTCCGAAAAGTTTACTAGCTTTACCTTCCACTATACAACTTGAGTTACCCAACAGCGCTCCTTTACAACTTTTTATAATTGTCCATGTGCCACACTAACTTGTGATACTGCAACTGGAATGGCGTTACAGTCCCTGCTACAAGGCTAACATCTCAGTACGCTGAAGCGGGATGCTTTGGCAACTGAGAAGTGGAACTACAGTTTGAGAAACAAGAATTTCGTCCTGAACAGCCACAGCTGTTTATTTCTAGTACAGGCATCAGGGTACTTTTTTTTCTTCCTACAGATGATACGGTGGCAAGAGAAGTCTGTCCCACTGTTGTGGTCACTGCAATAGCTAGCAATCGGGTTTTTGCTGCGGTGAAGACAGTACCTCCCCTAACTGTTTGGCAAGGTACCCTTACAATGCGAGTTTTAGTCCATCAGTGGAACCTAAGTATCTATTACAACAGCAAGAAAATAGCCTTTTTGATCAGTAGATAAAATTTAGACTTTAATATAAGTTAACATCAGGGATGTTATAAACAGTCAATTGATGCATAGGTAATTAACCACAAATCAGTTCACGCATTCTTCACCGTTTAACTGTAATGCTAATATTGCTTTTATGGTGTTGAACGTCAAGCACAAGTTCGTCTCCAACCTGAACTCGGATGGGCTCATCGAGAACAACTGCAGCTTGTTTCCAGTGCGAGGACTCATCAGATGTATTCAAGCTATGGTCTTCATCTAGATGTATGTGATACCAGAAGGGAATTGCAGTGACTTGGCCAGACTTACAAATTTGGACCTAAAAATATTTAAAATATTAGTTTAATCAGATCCACCCTTTTCAAAGAAGTAAGAAAATAAAGTAGTTCAAACCATTTCAATCCATTTCAGAGACAGCTGCAGGCAAGTAAATTCTGTACTGAAATTTTCAGCCAAGGTAAGCAATTAACGAGCAGCTCTTCAGAAGAACAGTTCAGCGTACTTGTAACTTTACACACAACTCACCTTCACTTCTCTGCTGGAGCTGTTCAACAGAGGGTTCATGAGATCTAGCCTTAAAAGCTCTGCTGGCTTGCTCAAGGGTAGACACGGTAATGTAGAGAGATCCAAATAGACACGAACAGGTACCTAGGAGTATATATACACCACAACTTCAGGCATCAATAGCCATTAATAAGTTAAAAAACTTAATCATAATGCAAAAGTTTCTAGGAATTACTGTAATACCCGTAAGAGACAGCCAAAACGCACAATATACCCTTCAAATCCCTTTTGAAATGTGACTGTTGGGATACAAGGTGATGAAGGAGATAGTAACAGCACAGTCACTCTTCTGTACAGTAACACTGCGTCTTTCATTACTCGCACAAAACTTCTCCCGCACCAGTTCTAAAACAAATGGTACCCATTTTTAGTTTATCTCAAGGTCCCTGTCTAGTCACATAAATCTCTTTTGATAACTTCAACCATATGAAAAAGTTTCAGCTCTTCAGTTTTCTTGCCGTTTACACCAAAACCAAACAGTTCGACAGCTGCAGGCTTTGGAACTGTGCCTGGAAAACACCCACCAACTTCATACCTTGAACTGGTTGATAAAAGGTGCTATATTAAACCCAAGAGTTGGTTCTGTTCCTTGAACAGCACTCTCCAGTAACAGACACTCCGACTCTACAAGCATGCCATATACCAACACATACTGTGGGAAAATCTTCCCTCCACTGTGAAGTAAACATCTGTAAAACGAGAGAGATTTCACCTCTAAAGCATATCATTCAAAAGCAATGAAAGAACATTAACTACATTTAAGGAAGGCACACTAGTTCTTCCTCTGAAGTCAAGTGCTTATAAGCATTTGAGTTTGATGCCATTTGACCAGACAGCTGTATCATACAAAAAAGGAAAACTTGTCACGTAATACTAGAACTACGGAACTAAGTAATCTTTTACCA